GCTGGTAGCATCGCTTCAGCCCCGTAAGCTAGGCTGAACGGTGTTTCCTTTGTGCTAGTTTGTGGCGTGGTTCGATATGACCAAAGGACTTCCGGTAGCTCGTCTACCCATGTACCTTTTGCTTTGCCTAGCCGCTTCTTGATCCCTTGCACCAACTTCCTATTGGACACCTTTGTTTTCCCGTTGGCCTGGGAGTGCGCCACGGATGTGAATCTCTTCTCTATTCTTCTTTCACTACACCAGCCCCTGAAGGGATTTTCGGCGAACTGCAAACCATTATCACCGATCAAAATTTTGGGTGTCCCAAATCTTGTTATGATGTTCTTCCAGACGAATTTGATTATCTGTTTTCCAGTGATACACGCCAGCGGTTCGGCCTCTATCCACTTTGTGAAATAGTCGACCGCTGCAACTAAGAATTTTACTTTCCCTGGTGCTTCTGGAAAAGGGCCGACGATGTCGATCCCCCATTGATAGAAAGGCCACAAGCTAACTATACTTGTTAATTTGGATGGTGGTACCCCTTGTGCCGGCGAGAAATTTTGACATTCTACACAAGCCCAGGTTAATTCGACTGGGTCCTGGTGTACGTCTGGCCAGTAGAGCCCCATGCGTAGTACTTTGCCTATGAGCGTCCGCGCTCCCTCATGGGCTCCAGCTGACCCTGCATGGGCTTCCTTTAGAGCCTTCTTCCCTGACTCACCGTCTATGCACTTGAACCATAGGGTTGTATGGCCTTTTTCTATATAAATTTCCCCCCAGGATTGCATACTGGGGGGCTCGTATCCTTGTTTTCTGGGCCTCTCCGTGGTCGTCGGGGAGTATGTCGTGCTGCAACTAGTCCATGATGGGCGTCATCTAGTTGGGCTGCGCTGCAAATAGGGAATCAACCTGGCGTTCGTCGATACTCCTTTCTTTTAGTACCTCCACTAATACTTCCTTTGAGAGGTGCCCGAAACATGTTGACGCTAGCTTACTGAGAGCATATGCTCGCCTGTTGTTTCCTCTCGAAATCTGCTTTATTGTGAAGCTCTTTAGCGAGCTCGTGATTCGTTGTACCACCTTGACATATTTCTCCATTCGCTTATCCTTTGCTTCGAATTACCCTGAGACTTGGTTGGCCGCTAGGCGTGAATCGGTCAAGGCCATAACTCTTTCCGCCCCTATTTTTACTGCCAATATAAGGCCAGCCATCAAGGCTTCGTACTCGGCTTCGTTGTTGGAGGTACGGATGTCGAAACGTAAAGCGTATGTGACTTCTTCGCCCGTGGGGCTGGTGAGGATTAGCCCTGCGCCCGACCCTTCTTTACTGGAAGTCTCGTCCGTGTAAAGGGTCCACTGCTGCTCAGTCTTCCCCTGTGACCCCCCTTGTGGGGTCGTGCCGACTGCTTCTTGCTGGAGTTCCCCTGGGATTTTGAGTAAGAAATCCGCCAGTGCCTATCCCTTAATGCTTACTCTGGGGTGATAGTTGATGTCGTGTTCTCCCAATTCTATGGCCCATTTTGTGAGTCTCCCTGACGTTTCTTTTTTCAGGAGCACTTGTTTGATTGGGCAGCTGGTCAATACTTCTATTTGGTGAGCTTGGAAGTGCCGACGGAGCCTGCGCGCTGCGTAGATTAGGGAGAGCACCAGTTTCTCGATGATTGGGTAATTGGTTTCGGATCCTTGCAGGGCCCGACTCACAAAGTAGATCGGGAGTTGCCGTCCCTGCCTCTCAACTACCAGTACTGATGAAATGGCGTCCCTTGATGCGGACAGATAAACTTGCAGTATTTCCCCGGGTATTGGGCTAGCCAGAGTGGGGAGTGCGTGGATCACCTTTTTTATCTTCTGTAGCGCCGATTCGGCTTCTGTCGTCCATTGGAAATTATTCTTTTCTATGCACCCTTTGAGTGTATGGAACAGTGGCATGGATTTTTCGGATGACATGGAAATGAACCGGTTGAGCGCTGTTAACTTTCCATTCAAGCCTTGCGTGTCTCTTAGCGTGCTAGGCGAAGGCGTTTCCTGGAGCTCACTTATCTTGGCTGGGATCGGCTGAATTCCCTCCTTTGTTACATAATACCCCAGGAATTGTCCCTCTTCTACCCCGAAAGTGCATTTAGCGGGGTTTAACTTCATCTTAGCTCTCTCCAAGGTTTGTAGTGTCTCCTATATGTCTCGTGACAGCTTCTTATCGTCTGGGCTTTTGATGACCATGTCATCGACATAGATGTTGATGTTCCGACCGATTTGGTTGGCGAACAAAGAGTCGAAGAGCCGCTGGTAAGTTGCTCCAGCGTTCTTTAGCCCAAACGGCATTTTTGTGTAGTAGAAAGTACCATGGTCTATGTAGAAGGTTGTTTTCTCTTCGTCGTTTTTGCTCATCAGAATTTGATGATACCCCTTGTATGCGTCTAGGAAGCATTTCCACTAAAATCCTTGCAGGGACTCTACCTTCTAGTCTATTTCTAGTAACTGGTAACAGTCTTGGGGGCATGCCTTGTTGAGATTTGAGTAATCGATGCACATACGCCAGCTTCCGTCGTTCTTTTTTACCATTACCGAATAGCGGTCCATGTAGGGAAAATCGCTTCTCTGAGGATTCCGACGCTGGTTAATTTGGCTACCTCTGCGTTGATTGCCTTGTTTCGGTCCCCCCTTGGACCCGTTTCTTCTGATTTATCTCCTTGGTTCCTGGTTTTATCATCAACTTGTGTTCTATGATCCCCCGATCGACTCCCACCATGTCTGTGGGAGTGCAAGCGAATACGTGCTTATACTTTTGTAGGAGCTGGACCAACACTTCTCTTGTCTTCGTGGGGAGGGTTGTTCCCACGATCACCCGCTGGTCTGGGTATTCCCGGTTGATTACTTCTCCCCCGTCTGACAAATCCGGTCTTGGTCGCTTGGCTTCGGCTGAGATGTCCTTTGGTTGCATGATCTCGTAACACTTGAGCTCCCTTGGGGGCGTGGCAAAAATTATCCGCGGTCCCTGGGTTGTGCTGAACTTGACTATCCCGTGGATTGTTGATGGGACTGCTCCGAACTTCATTAGGGCCGTCCGTCCCAATATGATGTTATGCTCCGATGGATGTTGTATGACCACGAAATCTACCAGAGCAGTCCGTCGCCTGGTTTTGTCTTCGCTGATTAGTGTAAATGGCAAGTGGACCATACCTAAGGGCCACAAACTGTGGCCAATGAACCCTGTGAGTCGGCCCGTAGTTGGCCTTAGTCCTTCCTTCCAGGCGTCGGGTAGCCGCTGGAAACAGTGCTCGTAAATGATGTCCGCGGAACTTCCTGTGTCGACGTATACTCGATGAACAACGACATCCCGAATGGATCCTTGGATGACGAGGGGGTTGTCTCCACTCCAACCAGCTGAGCTTGGGTCATGTACAGAGAATGTTAGCCCCTGCATTGCCTCTGTGATGCTCCGTGTGCCCTCCATGCGTTCTGTTCTCCCCCTCTTGTGGTGTATCGTCAAGATTTCCAACCTACTGTCTGTCTTTCCAGTGCCGTCCTTGGGGTTTTCTACGTCGAACTTAGCCCGTAAGCTCTTGGAGATTTCTATCACGTTGCCTTTTAGTTGTTTCTCTTCAATCTCCCTCTTTAGAACTGCACAATTGACTGTGTCATGCGTCCTGCTTTTGTGGTACTCACAATATCGCGTTTTGGTGCCCTTTGTTGCTGGTTTCTCGTCTACCGCATAGACTTCTGCTCATCTTCCTCACCTTTCTTCTTTAACGAAGGGTCTGAAACGTCCTGGCAATCGTCTGTCTCACCCCATGAATCTGCCCCCCCCAAGGGTCAGGGTGGGGGGTAGGGTGGTGGCTTCGTCTTCCGGCGGAGGCTGTCATGACATTTAGGTATGCCTGCTTTGACGCTTCGCCTTCCTCCTAGCGTAGGAATCATTCCACTCGCTCTTTTAGTTCTGCCCTTGTCTGAGGTTGCTTGCCCATGAGCTTCTGGGATAGCGATCCCGACAATAGTCCCCAGGTGAATGCCCCTACAATTAGACCTTCGTCTTGCCCCGGGACGTCTAGCGTTGCTTTAGTGAATCTGGTGAAATAGTCTTTAACTGTCTCTCCCTCTCGCTGCTTGCACCCAATGATCAAGTGGCAATCGCCATTGTATTTCCAAAGTTGCATGAAGTTAGTTAGGAAAAGGTACTTCAGCTGACTGAAGTTGCTGATGCTGCCCGGACGGAGTGTCTTGAATCATGTCCCTGTGTTGCCATCTAAGGTGGTGGGAAAGTATGTGCACCAAAATCGTTCCTCTAGCTTGAGGGACGTCATGTTCCATTCGTATGTGTCGATGTGGCTATCTGGGTCGGTAGTGCCATCATATGTTTTAAGGTGGGGTAATTTGGCAGTGTTAGGGATTTCATATTCCAGGAAATCTTTAACGAATGGTGATGTAACACTTCGTGTTAGGAAATCTTGGGTTGGGGTTCGTTGATTGAAGTGATACCCAGGCTGTTGCATTGCCAAGAAGGGCTGTACTAACATGTTGTTATAGGCTGTAAGGTCCGGTGTCACCGAGCCATAGAAGTTTAACGGCTGAAATGGAGTGGGGAAGGTATGACACATGGGTATTTGCTGTTGGGCCATGGGTATTGGCTGTTGGGCCGTGGGTATTTGCTGTTGGGCCGTGGGTAATTACTGATGGGCCATGGGTATTTGCTGTTGGGCCATGAGTATTTTCTGTTGGGCCATGGGTATTTGCTGGTAAAGCGTGAGTGGTGATGTTGACATGGTGCCTGTCATCAAGGACGGGTGGATCTGTGGTTGTGGTGTGATGTTTGGGCCAGTTACAACGTTGTTCGCATGTGAGCTGTTTACGAAAGGCGTCATGGGTGTTGTTTGAAAGCTGTTAGGATTGACGGTGTTGGAGAAAAATGGCGGCGAAGTGGGTACTATGTATTGTTTAGACACACCGCTGTTTGGGAATGGAGGAGGGGTTGTTGTGTGAGTTGGAGTGGATGGTGATGTTTGACTCTGGGTTAAACCGATTGCATGATTGTTGCGACGGAGGGTAATGGGCCATCTGGTGGCAGCGCCGTCACGGGATATGGTGGCGGACCACCGGATGTCGGTGTTGTCACAAGAGATGGTGGTAGGCCACCAGATGATGGTGTTGGTTCAAGAGACGGTGGCGGGCCGCCAGATAGTGGTACTACTTCAAGGGGTGGTGGCGGGCCGTCGGAGGATGGCGCTACTCCAAGAGGAGGTGGTAGGCCACCGGAAGATGGTGCTACTTCAGGAGAAGGTTGTGGGCCACCGGGAGATGGTGCTGCTGGGGTGTTGACTGCTTCCAACAACGCCATCGAGTGTATCGGGCTATGTGGTGGTTCCGATGACTCACCCGCCGTCTTCTTCGTCATGCGTGGTTAAGTTGAAAGACAAGAGAAAAGAAAAGGGGTTTTCATATCTATTGTCACAGAAACGGATGGCGCCAAATGATGCGACCTGGCTCCAAACCACCTAAGCTGCTGCGAGATGGTCGTCAGGATGGAACCTGGAAGGCCACAAAGAAAGAAAATACGTCAGCCGCTCTCCGGGAAAAGGTCCCGGAAAGACGCTCCGACGGTGAAGTTAGTGAGGTGAATGTGGATTATGGAGGTAGATGACCGGGGTTGAATAGCTTACCTCTCAAGGCAGAGTGATCGGCCTTTTATACTGAAGATCTTCCTCGATCCGTACGAGGGACAAGGACTGCGGTTCCGACAGGATCCGCTGCTCTTATTGGAGGGCCATGCTCCATGTTTGTGTCCGGCCCAACGATTGGTCCAGGCGATAATGCTCCGAATGCACTCTTTGTCATCTGGAACCGTTATCCTTGGACTGTAGCTGAAGGACAATATTTGGCGAGGGTGGAATTCCTACGCGATCGCCTCGCGGGAGTCCTGGGTCGCTGAGGCGGTCGAGTCGCTGGCCCGACCTCTCACTGTGAGTGCCTCGCCAGGGGTTTGCTTGCTTCTGGCCCGCTCTGAGGGGCGGGTCATCATCTATAATGGGATAAATTCAAGTTAGTTGATTTAAGTCCTTAATATAACACCCAAATGAAATATTAAGGCTAGGACCCAACACAATATTTTACAATTCGGAAGAGGGATGTTGTAATCTAATTGCAAAATATTTGAAGGTAGGTAAAGGACGATTTACCAATTTGCACCATGAAAAAAACGAAATTGATTATTAAGTTTTAAATGGATTGAAATTCCTAGATCCTTTTAGATTCATTGAATTTTTCAATGGCATGTTTAAATCTCGATTGTGCCCTTCAAATTTGTGACTGTGATGCCGAGGATCACAAACAAGGTGTGAATAACCGTGCAAATTTTCTTGGTACACCCAATGTTACAACCACCTAATCAATGTGCCGATTAACCACACACACTCCATTGATCTATGATTAACATCAAGCTACCCTTTGCCACACACTGTCAGTCCCAGATTAGTATGTCGGTTAACCACACGCGCTCCACTAACGACTTAACAAGGTGCAAAGTGCAATTTTATGGGTTAGAACCATATTCACATTTAAGATTGGGAATTTATAAGTGTTTAGTTACTTGCTATTTTCATTATACTTTTAATGAGAATTAGTTTCCTATCCTACCCGTTCGGCTAACGACCCTCCACCAGTCAAGGAAGCGGTGGGTGAGAGTGGACACCCATTAAACCGCCATTTTATAGGCACTAACCTTATACCCCCCTTATAGACCGGCTTCGTGAATGAGGCCTACTAATGGTAAGACTGACTTGTCTTATACATATATATAATTATTAAACTTATAATAATATAAAGTATAAGGGTAGAATTTTAACTTTTAAAACTCTAGGGTTTGGAACTAAAGTATTCAAAAGTGAGACTTTACAAATTCCAAAACTTTAGGGAAAGTTTTGAAACTTGTCAAAACTTTTCATTTCTCTAACTTATGAGTTTAATGAGGTTTTTTATGAAAAACTTTTCAAGTTCCATAACTTGAGGACAAGTTATGGAAGACCTTAAAACCATTTAAGATGACTTTTAAAATGAGACTCTTGAAACTCCATAACTTGAGGACAAGTTATGAAGTTCATAAAAAAACATTCATGAAAAACTTTTCATTTTCCATAACTTGAGGACAAGTTATGGAATTCATAGAAGGCATTCAGATCAAATATTTCAATTAACACAATAATCAAATAATTTTTCTATGATCTAGATTAAACTCATAAGACAAGATAATTCACAACAACTATTTACAAGAAATTAGTCTATCATATAAACTAATAGAAATCTTGAAACTATGACAATTATATTTTAATTGGACAAGCATGATCATTACCTTATGAAAAAACACATTTCATGGTTCAAAAAACAGTTTGGGTAATGATCCTAATCCAATTTCTGGCTAAAAGTCGAAAATCTGCCCACTGGAGCACCAACTCGGCGAGTACATGAACTGGACTTGTCGAGTTGGCCATTTTATGAGAGGACTCGGCGAGTCACCCAGTGGACTCGGCGAGTTCAATGGGCAGAAGGCATAAAATTTGATTTTTTCACTTTGAAAACCAATAAAACATCAAGTATAACAGAAAACAATCCTAGTCTCTGATACCACTGAAGGGTTTTAGTATACTACAACATCCTATGGTGCACATACAACCCTAAATGCTTTGGATCTATGTTTTCTCTAATTATACATGCAATATTGTTTCCAAAGCATTAAGCCTACAACTAGCATACAATTGACATAAACAACATAGAATTGAGTTATAGAGTTACCTCTTGGTCGTGGCTTGTAGAACTTGTTGTGTTTGGCCTTTATGAACTTAGTTCCCCAAGTGTTGCACCTCAAATGGAATCACATCACACCTTTGGGCAAAGGATGACTTTTGAGAGAATATTCTTACACTCAAATCGGCTCATGAACTCTTAGAACATCTAGTGCACGATTTTGGATGCTAAGGGGCTTCTTATATAGTGTGGCAAGATTAGGGTTAGCACCATGTAAACCCTAATGCCCATGACTCTTCATATTACCTAGGATACATGGGTTAAAACCTCCATGGACTATCCATGGACTACCATATTGGTTTAGCCCATCCTAAATAACCATAAGCCCACACCATAAGAATGATTGATTTACCAAATCAATCCCCTTACATTTAATTAGTCTCTTTTGATCACTAAATTAATTCCAAATTGATTCTTGATCAATACTAATTTAATAGTATGATTTCATATTAATATATTAGAATTTATAATATATTAACAAATCATAAATAACCTCTTCTCAAAAGTCCATCCTATCAAATTGTCCTGGTGATATGCAACCCAAATGGACCATGCTACTCTCGGGTCAAGTACATACCAATTATAGTTATGGGCTTAGACACCTAATCCAATAGTTCTATCCAGACGCTCGAGGATATGCTCAGATTATGTTGGATGTTGGCATGTGTTGGGATACTTAACTTCCACTAGCCGAGTTCTCCTACAACAATACTTACCTTGCCAATATTGATCGACCACCCTTTGAGATGCTTTATAGGAGGAAATGTCGGACCCTGGTTGGTTGAGGTGAGGCCGGGTATCGGTTTATGGGGAATATCGAGGTTGTACTCAAGACCATCAAGTTGATTCAATAAGTGCGAGGTCGACTGCAGACCGTGCAGAGTCGACATAATAGTTATGCTGACCGGCGGCAATCAATATCCAAGTTTCAGGTGGGGGATTTTGTGCTTCTGAAGATGTCAGCTTGGAAAGGTTTCATCCGATTCTGGAAGCGGGGAAAGTTGTGCCCCAGGTATATTGGTCCCTTCAGGATTATCTCCCGAGTGGGCAAGGTTACTTACCGGTTGGATCTTCCTGATGCGCTCAGTCAGATCCACAACACATTCCGTGTCTCTCAGTTGCAGAAGTGCCTTGTTGACAATTTCGCAGTGGTTCCTTTGGATGATATTCAAGTCGATGAGTGTTTGAACTATATAGAGAGACCGATCACGATCCTTGATAAGAAGACGAATACCTTGTGAAACAAGGTGGTTGGCTTAGTTAAGGTGCAATGGCAACACCGGAAGGGTTCATAGTGGACGTAGGAGCCTGTGGAGGAGATGAGAGAGCATTACCCAGAGTTATTTGCAACAGTGGAATTCGAGGATGAATTCTGATTCAAGTGGGAGAGAGTTGTAACATCCGAATCTAGAGGTACATTTTATTTTATTAAAGTTAGCTTTTTGCAAGTCACCACGACGTGGGAAATAATCGCCATGGCGTAGCGAGGGATTTTTGGTCGTGGGTTTCTTTTGACCTGCCACGGCGTGGCAGGTATAGGCAATGACGTGGCTGCTGCTGATGTCTTAAACCCTAATTTTTTGGGTTTTGCACCCTATTTAAAGGAATGCAGATGCTAGGGTTTTCTCATCCTCAGCCTCCACCACCTTCCTTAACTCTGAAGAAACCCTAATTCCTTTTCCTCTATTATTGAAGCTTACTTGTTGTTTTGGGGATTTTTGAAGGAAAGAGAAAGGAGTAAGCCAAGGATCATCAAGCAAGTTCTCATTCCTCTTCTAAGCACGTTTCAGGACCTTTGTAAGTGTCTAAGACTCCACCTTTATGTTTCTTGATTACTAGATCTTGAGTTTTGTCCTATTTTCTTCTTGTTTTTGTTAGTTGGGATGGTGAGATGCCATAAAGGTTGCAACTTTATGAATCTTTGGGTTATTTGGAGTGATTAATGGTTTAGATCTAAAGTATGGTGGGTTGGTTGAACCATGCATGGGATGTTGGTCATAATCTCCATTTTTGACCTAATATGAGCTCAATACATGCATTAGACATCCATGTATACAAAGCACCAACTTTTAGGTTACTTTTGGTGTTAGAAATTGTTCTGGAGCTGAAGGACTTGTATTTTTTCGAGATTAAGTTCTTAATGATTAAGTCCTTGTCATGTTTTGCTTTTTGTACCTAGGGTTTGAGATCTTGATATCTTGGAGAGTACTAAGGGATACAGTTGGAAACTTTATCCACCTAGAACATAAAAAGGACCCGATTAGAGCATTGGAGCTCTTGGAATCGAAGGAAATGGCTTAAACCATTAAGTGTTTTGAACCCAATTCCCACGGCATGGCCCTAGGTTGCCATGGCGTGGCAATTGGGGATTTAGCATCTGTTTTGTCGTTTGTGGGCCATAACATAGTCAAGGATGGCCACGATGTGGCAAGTCAACTAAAGTCAAATTTGACCGTTGAATTTTGGTTAACAACCTTGTTTTGGAAGAAGAGTTAAGAGTTTTTCTTGTGTGGCAATATAGGTGGTGTATAGCATCTGTTTCTCAACAGTGAGAGCGGTAGCAGTTGTTTTCTCAACAGTGACACGAGTTTGCGTATTGTAAAAAGTA